GGTTAATAACCTAAATCGTCAACCAAATGTCACTTTAAGTTGCGTTCAGAAACTCGATTTCAAACTTTCGTTTACATGAAGGATGCATGTTCGTATGTGACCTAGTAATAGTGCATGATTATTCATCACTACTCCGGCGGTAATGCTGAGATGAGAGGAATAGAAGAGCTAGATTCTGGTTAATGTTTTTCTTACAGTCTTAATAAATAAATATTATTTAAAATCAGTGTTTTTTTTTTCTCAATCTTAGTAAATAAATGTTATTAAAAGAATCTGATGCTTTTTCTCACTTAATCTTAGTTTAATAAGTTAAATAAGTTTTATTAAATAAAAACTTTTTTGCTCTCTCTACCTATTTGTTTTGATTTGACAGCTATGACATCACAATATGGCGCTCAGTCGGTCCTATTCTTAGTTGAATCGCATTATATATACTTTCAACCCGAACCATGATTGTCTTTTATTCAATTTCTAGGAAGTACTTTATCCTAAACTTTTCCATTGAACGTGAATGCTACATACATATAAGACGTGTTATATTATAAGCTTCGTCACGTTCTCATCATTAATTATTGTTAAGTACGAAAATCCGTGAGCATTGTTTTTTTTTCATAATTAGAAATAACAGTGGCAAAGCTTATTGGTTAGCTTAATGGTAGGCCAACATTTTTACGACACGACCTCATTGCTATATGTTGTTGAGTAATTAAAGACGTTTTAATGGATCGGTAAATAATATTTCTACAGGAAATTGATGCTCCATATTTTAAGTTTAAATTAAGTTTATTTTCATTGCATTTATAACAAAATCCCAAAACGACCCCTATAACAAAAGATAACTTAAATTGAACTGGTCTAAAATAGATACTACCAATTTGGCTCCAAAAACTTTATTAACAACGATGAAAAACGACTTCATAAAAACAAAACCCCTAAAAATTAATAAATAATAAATTTTCTTTACTAAAATCTTAATCACCTTTAAATTCAAAGTAATATTTCCGTCGATCGGAAATAATCGGTGCCTAATTCTATATTTCGTAAAATAACCAAACACGCGAGTACAGTACCCCTAGCACGAACCATTATCGAATTCGAATAGTTTGCAAACCGAAATTTCAATGTCTTTGTATGGAAACTTGAACAGCAGCGGCATAAAGTATGTAATGAGAACTAAAAATCAGTACACATTTGACAATGACATTTCGGACTCGCAAACGATATGAATTCGATATTGGTTCGTGCTAGGGGTACTGTTCATAGCAATTATTATTTTCAATGTTAGTACTCTACGTATTTGAGAAGTACCGTTGTTTATCTCCTAAATTATTTATCAGATCTTCACTAAATTAATATGGGACCATCTCGCTAACAAACTATTTCTAATAAAAAATCATCAAAATCGGTCGACCTCGGAGATATGCGTTATAAGTTCACGGGCCACGATATGACATTAACTTAATAAATCAATGACTTTATATAACAAAGTTCCCAACGCCGCGCCACTCGAGATTAGAAACCGATCAAGGGACTTCCTGTGGTTAAGTGGTAGTTAGTAGATTAATAATCGATGTTTCTACATCGCTGCTTCTGTAGTCAATGAAACGAAACGATACTTAAGTAATATATAATATCTTTCTTTTGATAAAATAACCAGAATACGTACCCTTTTTTTGTTGGATTTCTTAGCCCGTTGGTAAACAAACAGATGAAAGCACAAAAAGAAAGAGCGGACGCGAGCTGAGAAACAATTGAGAAATAGGTATTTGATAAAACTATTGCTGCCACGCATTGGCAAATACCATGTGATAGGGACAGCTGTAGTTAACGCTGAAAATTGCGTATAAAAATTGCGAAATTCAAGGTTTGGCTCTCGACGATTTCCTCCTCGAAAATTAGATATACACAGTCAGGTCATAAGTATTGTCACACAGTAAAAACTTTTCTTTTAGAATGCTGACCACAAAAAAGTTTATTGAATTCGAATTTCGAATTGTTCATGAAAATAAAAATGTATACTTTTTAGAATTAGTGTTGCAGTTATTGCGTTGCATCGTTGCGGTTACGCGCCAATTCAAATTTTTGACATACTGAAAATTTTGAATATAACCAAAAGATTCCTTTATCGTACCATCAAACGATACAATGAAGACTCTAGTGTAGATGACAGGTCAAGAAGTGGTCGCCCTCGGTCTGTTAGGACTCTAGCAGTGATAAAAGCTGTGAAGGCGCGAATTCAAAGAAATTCCAAACGTAAGCAGAAACTGTTGGATCTTCAGATGGGGTTAAGCAGAACCACAGTGAAAAGGGTGTTAAATGAAGACTTAGGGATTCGGGCATATCGAAGAAAAACAGGACATCGTTTGAATGCTCGTCTAATGGACCTGAGATTGAAGAGATCCGCGCTTTGTTGAAGCGGTACGCGGGAAAAAAATATCGGGAAATTCTTTTTTCGGATGAAAAAATTTTTACCGTAGAAGAGAGCTACAACAAACAAAATGATAAGGTGTACGCACACAGTAGTGAAGAAGCGAGCAACCGTATTCCGCGTGTCCAACGAGGTCATTTTCCATCCTCGCTCATGGTATGGTTGGGAGTTTCTATGGGGCTTAACAGAGGTACATTTTTGTGAAAAAGGTGTATAAACGAATGCAGTTGTGTATCAAAATACAGTCCTGACGAACCTTGTGCAACCTGTTTCTCATACCATGTTCAATAACTGGCACTGGGTATTCCACCAAGATTCGGCGCCAGCTCATAGAGCGAAGAGCACACAAGACTGGCTGACGCGTGAAATCGACTTCATCCGGCACGAAGACTGGCCCTCCTCCGTTAGATTACAAAATATGGCAACACTTGGAGAAAAAGGCGTGCTCAAAGCCTCATCCCAATTTGGAGTCACTCAAGACATCCTTGATTAAAGAAGCCGCCGATATTGACATGGACCTCGTCCGTGCTGAGATAGACGACTGGCCGCGCAGATTGAAGGCCTGTATTCAAAATCATGGAGGTCATTTTGAATAAACTTTATTGTCATAAATCTATGTTTTGTAAAGTTCATTTTGATATATAAATGATTACATAATGAATAAACTTGTTTCAATTATTTTATATTAAACATGTGACAGAATTTATGATGTAGAAGAAATGTTACACAAAAAATAATAAGTAGTTATACTATGCCCCTATGTTTTGGATTTTGTAACTGCTTATTCACTAGACTTTTTATGTGGTGATAAAAATTTGTCTATTTTGGCCTCTAATAATCGGATTTTGGGGTTTCCTCATACTTAGAATTGAATCAAAACAAATTTTTTTCTTCAAACCCATACTTGTGGTTACTTAAAACGAAGAAAATATATATTCCACCGAAAAATTTGAACGAGATTTAGTAAGTAGTTTATTTAATACGTCATAAATCGTAATCCGCTGTTTACCTTTCATTCAATCAACTCAAATATAAAAATTATAAAAAAATATTTATTTTCATAAACATAAGCGTTATGCATTATCCTTAAACCATTATTTATATAATTAAAGTTGGCGTGGGGCGTAACTTGATCGGTAGCGGGTGCAGAGCGCACGGGGGGCAGGTTTTATATTATGTAACTTGCTGCTACGGAACCCTTCATGGGCGAGTCCGACTCGTACTTGACCGCTTTTTCTTGTTAAAAAAGGATTTTGCTTTTCACTTTTAAAAGTCAAAATAACATCAAATTACTAAATATAGATACTGGCCTGAAATCTCTTTTACATATTTCATACAATAACCAAACACGAAATTGAGGAGAATCTCCTAAAGTATTTATCTGATCTTCAACAAATTAATATGGGACTGCGAGCTCGCACAAATGGACCGCAAGAACATCCGATAATTTGCATCACGCATTCTTGCGTCACACTTGGTGACACCATTTTAGACCGCTCTGAGACCTTCTGCCTTGTACGATCCATTTTGTAAGCATGGTGATAATAAACTCAAAAGCTCTCCAAATAAAGATATGCTCATTCTAAAACAATAAAAAAAAAATCTTCTTCTGTTCTCAAACATAGTATTTTCGAGTAAAATAGTTCCCATCTGCGTTCAAAACCGTAATACATGGATGAACAAAAAATCGTCTTTCTCTTCTTCATATATCTATTAAACAATAAGAGCAGTGTAATAATCTTTTTGCGATCCATGGCACTATTTCTAAAATATGACTGACTACAGTTGAAGGTATGGTCACCTTAATCAAAGCTTTGACGCACGAAATATTATCGCAGCAAATCGTATCGCAGTTTTGTGTGGGAGCCCTTAGTTAGAATCAGAATTAATTCCATTCTATTTTATCAATTGAGTAGGCATAACAATTAATGGAAAGTCTTGCGTTTGGTCCGTACTGTGTTTGCTTTATGTTAGCAAACACTTTATTAAATATTCACGTGACTGATCAAAAGGAATATTTTAGACATGTATGCTAATAAAACCAAGCTAATTCAAACGAATAAGTATTCTCTTTTGCGTCACAGAGTCCCTGTTAGTAAATATAGCGCTTTAGTCTTGCATTTCAAATAACTCCTATTCTAGCGCTTTGCCATTTGCTGCATCACGCTCGCTTCGCTCGCTTGGCTCCCGCTATTTTTATTACAGTTGTAACCTTAGCGAGCACGCCGTTTCTCTTTGCTTTTCTGCTGTACACCAAATAAAATTTTTTATCCTATCCCATCGCAAATTTAATGCAAAAAATGTTTTGATAAAATTTATTGCACACATTTTCCGTCACTTTTTGTCATTGAATTGAATACAATATTCGTTATTCAAGTCCTTGGCCGATCGACTTGGCACCGCACTTCTAGACAGAGCACAAATTTATCATTTTTGTGGCTTGTCTATTGGTTGACGGTACAAACCAATTGATATGCCTGTGATTGGACTGTAACACATTTTGTCACAATCATCATCGGCTAACCCAAAGCGAACGGGTAGTAGTCTGCTATTTTGTGACAATATCACTTACTTGGTGGATATTCCCTGTAGGTGATGTCGCTGTAGAGGGCGAACGGAGATGCGCACACGACGGAGATCAGCCACAGGATCATGATGATGCGCGAGGCGCGGGTGAGGCCGGCCATGGCGTACAGGTGCAGAGGGTGGCAGATGGCCAGGTATCGCTCCAAGGAGAATGCAGATATCGTCAATACGGACACGTAGGTGGCACTGTAACAAGAATCATAAATTCAAAATCGTTTATTCAGTCTAAGAGTAAGGGAACCCAAGGGGGGTTTTTGGATTTACTCGAGCGCGGCAGAATTTAGTTATTTATTTATCTTTAAAAAAGGTTCTACAGCGGTTTTTTGTGGATTGAATACAATAAAATATAAATAAAAACTTAAGGCCAAATTACAGAAACTCATTATGTACACGTTAGATACTAACGGCGTTACTATACATATATCAGTACTTATTACATTTAATTTTAAAAAGCATATAATTTACTAACATAAATAATAAAATTTAATTAAGATTGGACAAAACATAATAAAATGACAAAAAAGAAAAACAAATACTAAATGCCCATACAAAAGGGTTTTCAATAATTGGTCACATGATAACTTTATGAATGTGGGTGTGTGTGCGTGTATGTATGTGTGTGTGTGTGTGTCCATGCAGCTGCAATACTATGCCTCGTAATAGGATGGCGGGCGCCGCGCCCCGGGCACTACATCATTCAAGTACTTCAGTGAAATTCAGTTGTAATTGTAGGCTTACTTGGCGCTGAGAATAAAATCAAATGAATAAATTAAATTGAAATAAATGTCAAGGATTTTTTTTAAGACGTATTTGGAAATGCGTCAGTGCAGTCATTTTTGATATTATTAAGAATACGAATAAATAATTATAAATGAAATAAATTCAAATAAGAATAACATAAAGGTTACCCATCTTGCACCTTGTGAAATACTCCCACCATACCTAAGCCCGTTTCACTTCTATCGCATGTGAACAGCACATGTAAACCGAAACGAAGTAAGTCGAGACATCCTCACGGACGCCGGCCCCACGGACATTAACCTGGTGACAAGAGAATTCTTATGCCAGAAATCGAAACAATTGACGTATGCTTGAGGAATAGTGTCAAAACATTGTTCGATGAAACTTGAAACGACGTAAATCGAAACGACGTAAGTTGAGGACTGCCTGTACAACTAGCCGTCACCCCAGCCGTGGCGGTAATCCCCATCTGCCTGAAACACCTATTACCAAAGCGCACGTAGAAGAAAGTAGGTAGGTAGAATGTAGATAAACAAAAATAATACTTAGAACATAAAACGGCTATAATAAAACATAATGAAATGTTTTTAATCGGAAACAACCGCTGTTTATGGGTGTAGAGAGACAAAGCCTTTGTTATCGGCTGGTCGAAAACGATACTAACCGCCTTTACATCTATTATAGCAATGAACCACCACGACGCGGCGACGGGCCCAGTAGTTCTCATGGGTGCGCCTAACCAACCATTTAAAGTGCTTTCCAAAGTAAAAAGATCTCAAGATGATACATTTTCTGTCAACTACCCCAATCCTACAGCTTAGAGCAACTTATAAATAAGGAAAAAACATTTTATAGAAATATTCAGTTTGTTAAAGAACGTACACAGTTACTACAAAAATTAGATTCTTGCCGTTCCATAATTGAAGAAAATAGATTAACATATGAACAAAATATGGATTTATTGAATATTAAGATAAATACCATTTAACAATCAGTATCTCAAATGACACAGAATTATAATAACTCAAAAAAACAGATAGAAGAATACATTCTGGCCTTAAAGTATCTATCTAACACCTCCCTTCACGAAGACACCTGTAAAATGTCAGTCTTTGGTATTGAATCAGAGCATTAATGAACAAAATGACACTGACCCAGTATGTGAGTCCTTGATTAATAAATCTGTTCACTCAGAGACCACAATTAGTTGTTATTCTATTAAGCAGAGAAACTTTCATAAATATATACCAATTAAATTATAAATAAAATATTAACATATATAATAAAACCAATTATCACTGTCATTGCGCCTCAACTGGTCATTATATTTAACAAATGTATTGATGAGGGATTCCAGATTTAATGAAATGTTCTAAAGTTATATCTCTGTTTAAGGCTGGTGATAAATCAGATCCCAGCAATTTTTGGCATATCTATATTACCAGCGCTTAGTAAAGTATTTGAGAAAATAGCTTACCACCAATTTCTAGCACACTTTTCTATAAATAAGCTGTTTCATTTAAAACAGTTTGGTTTCACTAGAGGCAAAAGTACTACTGATGCTGGAACTACACTTCTCAAACACGTTTTTGATGTATGGGAGAGTAAGCACGATGCTATTGGCATTTTTGCGACTTATCAAAGGCGTTTGAATGTGTTAGCCATGAAATATTGTTAAATAAAATGAAGCATTATGGTGTATCAAATATTTCACTAAGTCTGATACAGTCTTATCTTTCTGCTAGAATTCAGAAAGTAGTTATAAATGAAGCTGAGTGTACAGGAGCACCCATTTCTATGGGCGTGCCCCAGGGTTCAATATTGAGCCCATTACTTTTCCTTATTTATATCAATGACCTTCCTCACTTTACAAGAGATTTGTGTGAGACAGTGCTATTTGCTGATGATACCTCTTTAGTGTTTAAAACAAGAAGAGGAAATGATTATTATGACGAAGTAAATGTGCTCTCTCTGAAGTTTTTCGTTGGTTTACGGTAAATAATTTAAAACTTGACTCCAGTAAATAAAATGTATTAAGTTTACTCTACCTAATGTGAGGCAGGTTAATATTAGTATAAAAATAAATGACCAGCCTGTAGAGTTAGTGGAGTAGTTCTCCAAGATCTGATTGAGCTGCCACTGACCAAATTTAAATCTCAGCTCAAGAATACTCTTATGAATAAGGGCTATTTATTATAAAGTTGATGACTATGTAAATGATCGTAATGCATGAACATAGTGTTTCTTGTAATTTGTTATTTTTGATGGGTATTAGTCATTTTTCATAACAGTAATATAGTACCTATCTAATGCCGCTTCCTATATGCTAAATATAATGTTAACTATAAAATTTATTGTAACTATATATTTATATTCTAAATGATGTAACGGAAGGTGACTTCAGATGTATCTCTGAAGTAATTTTTCAACTTGACGTCTCTGTATCCTTATATCAATACAGGGAGAAAAAAACAGTCGATGCTGAGTTTCTTACCTGTTCTTCTTAGTACAAGGTCTCCCGCCGTAGTTTTGCGAACCGATGGCGTAGCTTCTTGACCTTCACAAGCGCTTTTAACGACCTAGACTGAATAAATGACTTTTCATTTCATTTTATTTCAAGTGTGAATCGGCCACGGTCTGTAATATATCATTCCAAACTTTGCTAGGCGAAAAAGGAAAATAAATTACTATAACCTTAGATTAAAACAAAAAGGTAAGATACGGTACGTTCATACTAGCATCAAATAAAATACGTTCCGACTCAACTACATAAGCAACTGTCACATACGCACACGTCTACAAAAAACATCGAGCAAGCAAGACAGAACTGTACGCTTCAACGCAGTGAGAGTGAAACGGCGAGTCCGCTTCCGAGTGCGAACGGCTGAGCTGTATTGTTGTCCTTTTCTTGATAACAAAATGGCGATTACGTAAATAACATTCACGACAAACCGTGATTTTTGAGCAAAAAATGATTTTGAAGTTCTTCGAATGAAAAGTGTAGTGTAGTGTGTAATAGTTCAAAATCGAATAACTAAAGCCTCGGCAGCTTTAGTTATTCGATTTTGAACTATTTGTGTTCCATATAAAAGCATCGAAGGCATTGTTTTATCATTTTAACACAGAATATACGCAATATATTATATTGCAGCACATTGTGCACATGCCACGTGTTAGGATGTCCAATTGTGACTACAGCGAATTGTGATCGTGCACCACAATTTAAGCGGGTCACTTTTGAGTCGCGAGTGCCGTATCTTCCCTTTTTATTTAATCTAAGACCTTTTTATTTTTATCGGAAGCCTAATAACGTGTTCATGTTGTTTGCGAAATACAAAAATCTAATAAATTTTAACTCTCACACGTATGGACACTGATGAATTTAGTCCATCAAAAACACAATATCTTTCGGTGAAAGCGGGCAGTACAGGGGACCGTCGTTAGGGCTTTTATTATCACAGGACACAGTTTATTCTTATGACAAACGAGTTCACGTTTACGGAAATAGGTAACTAGTGGAAAATTCATGACGACCTCCGTGGTCGAGTGGTTAGTACGCCGGGTTTCATGGTGTCGCCGACTCGAGAGGTCCCGGGTTCGAATCCCGGTGGGGGCAGATGTTTGTGTGATGAATACGAGCATTTGTACTCCAGTCATGGATGTTTAATATGTATTTCTATATAAATATACTTATATATGTACGGTATATGTATTCTATCCGTTACCCCTAGCATCCCATAACACAAGCCTTACAGTGCTTACTTTGGGGCTAGGCTAATTGGTGTGAGTGTTGGAAATATTAAAAAAATATTATTAATTAAACTTAAACTTTTCAAAAGTTCGCTCGACATAACGCTTTTATTATAATTTTATTCAACGGGATAAAAATAATTATGGACAATTGAGAGGATGAAGGGCAACTGCGTGCATTTAATTGGTCTTAGAACTACTGTAGCTATCATAATGAATAGTGATGCATATAGCAGGTTGTTCTTATAGTTCGTACCTATATTTAGGAATATTTAGGGACTCACGTCTGGTCAAACTTTATTAGCGAACATATAGTAAAGCACTGCGATAGGATGAATACAAAAATAAATGTTCACAATCATGTATCTTTGACCTTAGTGATGCAGATCTTAAGAGACAAATGAAAATGTTTTATGGTAAAACATAATAGTATCCAACCCGTACTGGACCAGCGAATGAGTCAGTGTCTAAACTCTCTTAAAAAGCATTAGTTGAAGAGAGGGGCTATGCTCAGTTGTGGAATCTATCAGTCTATCTATACATATTACTTATCTAAATATAAATAAATCATAATTTAACGTAGGTATATGCTATTGAGTGGTACACATCTACGTGCATAGTTTTTAATTAAAAGAACGAGACAAAACTTTAATAGACTTTACTAACATATATTTACATGAATAAAAACAACTAAC